GGGCAGCTCAAAAACCTAAGTCCTAGTGCAGTGTAGTGATTTCAGATTCACTGAGTTCTTGGGGGAAATTCCCCAAGATCAAATTCAAGCAAACAAATTAGACACTGCCCTTCGTATTTGTTGAAAATGAAACAAATATTAATCACAGTTCTAATTACGGTCTTTATTTGACCTGCTTAGCTAATATTCTATTGACATCAATTATCTTAAGTATTCTCTAATTAATAAAGTATATGAAACAGTGAGGTTATTGTAGAATTTTTCAGCTCACATCCTTGCATTATTCTTACCTTTCTGAGTTCAGTATAAAATGTAAATTATTTTTGCCTCTCTATTAACAGTTTGTATTGTATACAAAAGGGTTATATAGTAGGGAGTTTTATTCATTAGAACTTTTATGAGCAACATTCTTTGAAGTAATAGTCAGCAACACATGGTCGGTGCATTAATTAGTTATGTACCCTTAGGTTAATTCCAATTTATAGCAATCCCTTGAAGGGTTTTCTAGGTATACAGTACTTAGAAATGGTTTACCAGCCCATTTTTCTGAGGGAACTCTGGGACTGAGCAGCTTGCTCAAAATCACGCAAGCTGACTTGTGAACTATCAGGCACAGTAGGGAACTGAACTCCCAATCCTTACCTCCACACCCAAGTACCACACTAACTAAATACACTAACTGATCAGCTGGCATGTACACAACCAGTCTCTTTGGCCCCTGTGAGTAAACTTTATTGACAAAACCTGGCAGAACAATGGCACGCATCCAGTGCTTTAAAAAAGAACGTTTTGTTTTGCATAAAATCTATATCATTTTTCTTTTCAGAACTGCATGGAAAAGCTAGGGTAGTAAGAGGGGCTAGGGCCTCACCAATTTGGGATGCCATGGTCCTAGATCTGTAGAACATGCTACTTCCCACTCCTAAGAGCAAGGAAAAACTGTTGCATATCTCAAGAGGGACTCACTGATCAAGAAATCCCTACTTACTAGAAAAGTTTTTTTTCTGAATCCCATTCTGAATCCTGACAGAAGTGCCAGCTTCCTCTTCACTACTTGGAGCAACTAGATTCTGGCTAGCATTGCAGTGACTTATCGAAAGCCACAAGCAATCCCTGCCAAGTGGCAATCCTCTGGCAGAACAAAGTATATAGTATATATAATAACAGTGTGCCGTCATATACATAGTATACATTACTGTACCAAGATGTAACGGGCACTTGGGAATGTAAAAGCTGCAAGAAAAGTAGTATGTCCTTTGCAAATAACTTTTTCATTTCATACTTCTGCAGGAACTTAAATGTCTTTGATTTCATTATGAATGTTGAGAATGTTTAGAAGAACATGAAGTTAAAATGGACAATGAATCTAGACATCTGCATATATTTCTACCAAATATTACAGTATTGCACTTCTTCTGGTATATAGTAATCTCAATGTTATGATTATTATGGGATAATATTAAAAGATGCAAATAACTACTGTTATTCCCCAAAGCCTGACAAACTTGTCATCACCAAATCTACCAAGTCTCCTATAAGTATAAAACAAGTTATCCACACCAAAGGACAGCCTCTGTCCATACTTCTGGAAAATGGAGGTTTCCTAAGCTACAAATAAAACTTTTTGGGCAAAGGGGTTATCTGCAAGATGTTCATGATATTTAACCTCTTACTGTTCGAAAGTATACTATTCAAACATATGCTATTTGTTAAAAGATGTGGAGAAGCTTACTTTTTAGTACCGCTTCTACAAGAGAAGTTTATGGCAGAGAAACATTATTACATTCTGACTAGTTGATTCAGGTATGCCAAAAGACTGCATTAGTCTTTTTTTGCTTTCTCTCATGAAATAACAGCTTGGAGTTAAGAAAATACTAGAAGTAAAGAATGGTTTTCATATTCACATTCTGCTAGTAAACATAGTGGATGAAAAATATTTTAAATAAACAATAATAAATGTACTAATGTCAAGCAGAAGACTAAGGACTCCATCCTATGAACACACTTGAAAGGCAGTAACTTGTTTCCCATTGAGGAACAGGGTCTCAACTTCCAGAATCATCTCTAGATGCAAAAAACAATCGCTACTCAGCAAAGTAAGATGCTTTGGATCTTTTTCAGAAGACAAATGTCAGTGACCATGGACTCTGGCAGGTATAGTTCCAAATATTTACAATCTGATAACCTAACACATTGAAGAACTCCATTAATTAGAAGTCTTAAAGCAACTGTATGATCACACACATGTCTTCATTGGGTTGCCTTACAGAGATGCAAGATAAAATTATATGAGTCCTAATAGCTGATCACTTCTACGTCCCTGGTCTGAAGTATGCAGTGATACAAACAATAAATAACTTATACTATAATGCATAACCTTAGTAGCTAGATGCCACTCTGCCCTTGGCTTCCTCTCTCATTCAAAAAACTTTTAAGATTAAATGGAATTTTAATATCTTAAAATTAAATAACCATCAGTATAGGTTTTAATGTTATTATAAAATTTTGTTCCCAACTCACCTACCCAATTTTAAGAAAATATTTAATATAAATAACTGTAAAATTCAAAATCTGATTTTTTAGTAGTCTTATTTTAACACATATCCTAGAGACATAAGTGGGTTGAGTAGAACAGTAATACACTCCTTGTCAACTGGCTATTTTAAGAACTAAATTCTTAGCTTACACTTTGTTTTTAACTGGATGGATATTGTTTCAAAAGTGCCATAATGAAAAGCCAAAAAAATAAAGGTTTATAAAGGTACAGCATTGTGACAAACAATATAATCACACATCATAATACTGGCAATAGGAGAGACACAGAGAAGAGAATCTTGTGCAAAAGCATTTCTATGCTTCCAGTCAGTGACAATTCATTTAGGTTAAGGGCTATGGACCTGCTGGATGTCTCTGTAGTATATGGATGCAGCATTTTACTTAAACAGCACACATTTTCAGCAGCAAAATCCAACTATACGGGTGCACTATACAATTGTGTTATACAACAGGAGAAGTTTTTGCCAACAGCTGATCCATCTGCTTTTGGCAGAACTATTTATTGGTCATGCAACAAAACCATCCTGTTATTAGTGCTGGGAACAGAAGATACATCTACCATCTGATGAAGGCAGAATTGTCCTGGTTTCTCTCTACTATTTCACAGCACCTCCAAAGGGAGGTATTAGTGCTGGGAACAGAAGATACATCTACCATCTGATGAAGGCAGAAGTGTCCTGGTTTGTCTCTACTACTTCACGCTACCTTCAAAGGGTAACTAGTAGTTACTACTCTTCAGACACTGGTGGTTTTTTTTTAACTTATTGCTGAAGCTTCTGAGTATAAGAAGAAAAGAGCAACAACATTCTATACTTAACAGTCATGTCCTACAAGTTCTCAGGTGGATGAAAGAATGTGGCAATGTATCAGGCTTCTGAAATTCTGCTAGTGGGCAAAGGTCTAGGCCAACACCTCATTTTTAAGAAGCTGGATTGAAAAGCAACAGCTGAAAACTACACAAAACATAAAGATCAAAATGTACAGTATTTGTCTTCTCTCAAAAGGAACACTGAATTCAATGGCAACTGATTCCAAGTCTGCAGCCACATAATTGAATCATTGTTGCAGACTTTCAGGATTTTAAAAGCTTGTCTTTATAGGCACCAACAAGGATGACAGAAAATATGATACCTTCCTAGTCAGGTAGTCCTATTTGCTGGAACAGCTACAAAGGCAATGTATGTCTAAAGACTGCATTGTCATGTTCCCTAACGGTAAGGAATCTTGGCTACTTTACCCCACTATCAATGACTTAAGTGGATAAATATAAGTTCTCCTATTATGCTCTGAAGTTCAGGAACAAATGAAAAATACTGTTTAGTGCTATTGAAGACTTTAAGAGATGGTGGTAGCAAAAACAGATTCCCACATCTTTGTATGAAATTAACATAATGAACACTTTGTGCAGCATGTTATCTCTTTAACACATAACATGCTGTATGTGTATTTTACCTCACAAGCAGTTTTGTGGCAGACATCTCTAAGCACATCATATACACTATATTACACTGCAGTTATATATTTCAAGCACACTTCACTATCTTCCATTACTCTGGATTTTAACTTAGTACAAGATTGGCAGTCATTGGTATTAACAGGTTTATAGCCATTCTAAAGGTATCACAAAGCAGCAAAGATGGGGCAATAGAAAGGTATCTCCAGAACCGAGTAATAGAGATGGCTCAGGCATAAATAGGATCTAGTGCCGCCTACCTGTCTACTCTGCGAGTGAGAGTGTGTGTGTGGGCGGGGAGGGGGGTGTCTGTGAAGATGGTGACGGTCACAAAAGCAACTTGATCTCCCCTCCTGAAGAGGTCGTTGAACTCAAACCATGCCGTTTTCGGATACAGCCAGATCTATCCGGCTATTGACAGACTACTAAAGATGCGCAGTGCTCAAGGAGTTTCGTATCTCTATGACGAGTGGACTTTAAAAGGTAGCTGACTTGCTTGCTGTTGGGGCCTCTCATAAACCGGTTTAAGCCCGTTTTTTAAAGCTTAATTTCGCATCGAGTTTCCCTCTGCCCCAACACAACGTAGCTGTACCAACTTCTCGAGACCACTCGACGGGGGAGTCACTTCATTTTTACGCCCCCCCGCAGAGAAGCCCTACAGAGATCTCGCCGGGCCTGCCTGCCGTGGAGAAGCAGCAGCTGAATTTCCACGTTTAAGCAAAAAATGCAGCTCTCGGTCAGGCAACCTACCAGGGGGGAAGGCCAAGGGCGGGAACCGAGCAGGCTCGCAAGGGGGCGACAAGCCCAGTCCGTCGCCCAGAAGCGCGCCCACAAAGAGGTCAGACGGGTCGATGGGCAGCGCCACGGGAGGGCCGAGGCGAGGCGCCGCAAACCCCAACCCCCAAGCCCAAGACCAGAGGCTGAAGGGGCCGGACCCCAATTTCCTCCATACCCCGCCGCCGGTCCCGGGGGGGGGGCTCCCTCCTCTCACCTCGTCCTCCCGCTCACTGCGGAAGCACAAGCACGCCGCCCGCTTTTTGAAGCCCTCCCGGTCGTAGGTCCGTGTCTGGTTTGGCTTGAACTTCATCATAGAGGCAGAGAATGTGAAAGCTGCTGCCGCTGCTGCCGCCGCCGCCGCCACTTCACTCCAAGCCCCCGGCACGCCCCGCCCGTGTGGGAGGGAGACGAAGATGAAGACGACGACGACGAGACGACGACGAAGGCTGACCCTTTCTCTCCCCGGCCCAGCGCGAGGAACGGCGACGAAACGAGCCGCAGGTTCTCGCGCCGTCAGGGGGAAAAAAAAACCCGAAGCGGGTTCCTCTCAGGGGAACCGAGAGCCGCGAAGGGAGCTGTCGGTGCCGCGGCCGCCCAGGAACCCAAACCACGCCATAGAGCCCCTCCGTCGGCTCAGCCGTTCTCCTCCTCCTCCCTGTCTCGTCGTCGTCCTCCTCGCTGGCTGGCTGGCTGGCCGGCCGGCCGTCTGTCTGTCTTGCCTCGGTTCCCGCGGCGACGCAGCACAGGCCAGGCCTCGCCTGACCCGACGTGCTCCTACCGCGCGAGTCAGTCCGTCACCGTCCCTTCTCCGATCCCTAGAAGCGCCACCACTCACCGCTCCGGCGACCGCTGGACCCACTATTTAACTCTACCGTAAATTCCTCCGCCCGCCCGAGGCGTCCCGGCCTTCCTGAGTTACTGCGCAGGCGCCAGTCCCGCCTTAGAGGTGGGGCAGATGGGGGAGGGGAGAGGCTGGAGTGAGGAGGATTTACCTGATTCAGGGAGGCTGGAGGGGGGAGGCGAGGGGCTAAGGGTAACCGGCAAGGCCGGTTTGAGGGGACGTGGAGGGGTATTGACGGGCTGTTCGTAGGATTAAGGGGTAGCTGGCACTTCAGAGCAGCCACTATTGGGGAATTTTAGTTATTTTATTTAGCAGAGTATGAGTTATTAAAAGCAACAACAGAAACGGGGAAAAATCAGCTCAGTCTCTTTAATGGCCCCCCTCCTTGGTTTCTTTTGCTCACAAACTAGCACTTTATATGATAAAATCACTCTAGAAACATTTAAGGTAGAAAAAACGGTATCTTACAGTTATCATATGTCCTTATAGGCTCCCAAAGTATGGATAAATTGGATCCCTAGGGAGCTTTGGAACCTGAAAGGAAATTTTAAATTTAATTAAATTTTTAAATAGATTTCCGTTGCCACTTGATGACATAGTATAAATTTATGCCAACAGGATTTCAGACAAGAAATAAATAATCTTTAACCAAAGAATATGTCAGATCACTCTTTATTCTGCATCCTAACTCTAATGTTTGATATTAGTCTCTCCAAATTAGTCACATTAATGACGAGATTTGTGTTGATACTTCAGAGTACAACATGCAAGGTTTCACACAAGATGAGAAATTGTGTTTTCTGTTCAAGTACAGGCATGCCCTGTGGAGAGTGGGGCTACCCCATCTCTTTGCTCATACTGCCCTGCCTGATCTTCTTGTTGATTGCTGTCCAGATACTCTGTGGGCTGTTTGTTTGAAGGAATGATGAAAGTGGCAGATAAAAAGAAAGATATCTGTCAGAAAGATCCATAAAAACCAAAGTAATTGCAGTTCTCTGCCTTAGGGTTGCTGCCAGTTTTCAGCTAGGACCTGTACATCTGGACATGCTACTGGGCAGCAATACTGGACTTTTGTAAACTTAAAAGTTTCCTTTCCAGTCTTCATTACATATGTTAACTTATTATCCATATTCTTCTTAAATTTTATTTTACATGGATAGTTCTCACAGGCCTATTTTTACTAGGAACAAGACTTGCCCTGTTATGTGAAAAGTGTACAAACAAAAGTATAATAATGCACATATGTGGTTCCAATGATATTTTAACATCCTTTCATCTCCTGACATAATAATGATCTCATTAGGCTAAATCCAGTTGGTTTCAAATACATCAGATCAATTGGATTTATGTAAGTGTTGACTTAAGAAGACGTGTTTGTTCCACAGGTCCATTCTAGTTGAGGCTAATAATTAGATATAGCCATTATTATGAATTTTCTTTGTGATACTCCTGTAAAATCAGGTTTTAGATTGCTTGCACGGCTGTTTGGTTTACCTCACATTTGGTTATGGTGCCTTGTAAACAATGGCACCAAGATACATAAAAACCAAACAGTCCATTCTTTTGTATTCTCAAAGGCTTTCACGGCCAGGATCCGATGGTTTTTGTGGATTTTTAGGGCTGTTTGGCCATGTTCTGGAGGTTTCTCTTCCTAATGTTTCGCCAGTCTCTGTGGCCAGCATTTTCAGAGGACAGGAGCTAGAACTCTGTCCAAAAAACCCACAAGAACCATTTTGTATAATTAAGAAATATAGAGAGATCATCTCCAATCCTGATTTTGTCTTCTCTTTATTTATAAATATATGAAACAGCACTGGACCCAGGGCAGAACACTGCAGTACCACACCTGTCACCTCTCTCTTAATAGTAATGAACCATTGCACATAATTATACCCAATCAGCAATAATTTGAGAAAAAAACTATTTTTATTTTAAGCATTAATAATTTTAAAATTTAAGAAACTCAAGTTGTCTTCATAAGACTGCATGCGTGCTGTTCCCTGAATGGGAACAGATCATGCAAAGCCAAAGATGGGTCTTAATAGAAACATAGACCTTCACAGGAAAATGTCTGTTTCTCATTTCTGGAAATAGAAACTGAAGCCTATCAGCAAAAGCACTCCTGCTGACTTCCCATGAAGATGCACAGCAGGAAGGACAATTGATATTTAGCACTTACTAATTGGAAGAAAATCTGGTTTCAGTGGCTTATAAACTGTGTTGTATATTCAGGATCGTGTATTTCAAACTCCAGATTCTGAGTTAAAATTGGAAGGAAAAGGGGAGCCAATTCCTTGCAAAACAGGAATTATTTAAGGCTAGCTTTTCTGGATCATCAAACCAATTCCTCAGTGTAATGTCATGTTCAGTGAGAATGCGATATTCTTGTCCTCTTTTACTTCTAGTTTAAAGCATTTATTTTTACTGTAAAGTCCAATAAGCAGCTTCATTCATATACAATAATTAATATTGATATTAAGACTTTACAAGTAAACCACAAGTAAACCACAGTAAACCTTTGAGGCTGATGCGGAAACTTCAAGTGGAGCAGAATGCAGCAGCCAGACACATTTCTCCCACGCTGGCCATGCTGCATTGGCTGCCTATTCGTTTCCGCATAGACTTTAAAGTTTTAATGCTCACTTATAAGGCCCAAAACGGTTCAGGACCTCGATATTTGGCGGAATGCCTGCTCCCACCAAGATCTACCCGGATCACCCGTGCGAGCCAGGAGGTGAGGCTGAGGACCCTGACGCCGAGGGAGTCCCAAAGAGAAAAGACACGAAACAGGGCCTTCTCAGCGGTGGCTCCTCGCCTCTGGAATAACCTCCCATGAGAGATTTGCGCTGCCCCCACTTTGGGCACATTGAAAAGCCAACTAAAAACATGGATGTACATCCAGGCCTTCCCTCCTGTCAGCACTTGACTCTTTTTTCTTTCTTGCTATCCATTATTATTTTTAATATATATATTGCACTGTTTCTGTTATTGATTATGTTATAATGCTTTTGTGTCATTCAATGTATATGTGTTTTGTTGGAAGCCGCCCAGAGTGGTAGAATATACCAGATGGGCGGGATATAAATCAAATAAATAAATATATGAAATAGAAGGTTTTTATACATAAAGAAGGCTGACCGCCAAAGAATTGATGCTTTTGAACTGTGGTGCTGGAGGAGACTCTTGAGAGTCCCCTGGATTGCAAAGAGAACAAACCTATCCATTTTGAAGGAAATCAAACCTGAGTGCTCGCTGGAAGGATAGATCCTGAAGCTGAGGCTCCAATACTTTGGCCATCTCATGAGAAGAGAGGACTCCCTGGAAAAGACCCTGATGTTGGGAAAGTGTGAATGCAAGAGGAGAAAGGGATGACAGAGGACGAGATGGTTGGACAGTGTCATCGGAGCTATCAACATGAATTTGACCAAACTCCACGAGGCAGTCGAAGAAGGGATGGCCTGGTGTTCTCTGGTCCATGGGGTCACAGAGAGTCGGACACAACTTAACAACTAAATAACAACACATAGTGCTGAAGCACTCTCTGAGCAGTTTACAACATAATTATGCAAATAACACTGCTTTCCAGCGAGTTGGCTACTCATTTTGTTGACCTTGGAAGGACGGAAGGCAAAGCCAAATTTGAGCCAGCTACCAGAATCCATCAACTCATTGCAATGGAAATAAATGAGTGAGGATTAATAAGAAATTATGGTTTGTAACACAAAAAGGGAGGTCTTGGATTACCCAATTTAAAATTTTATTATATAGCAAATCAACTCAGATATATTCCAGATATTATTAAAGGTAAGAAAAATTTAATTTGGAGAGGAATAGAAATGCAGGGTAAGGAAGAAAGTATTGAAAATATATTGTTTAAAGAAAAATTGTAGAAGATATTAAAAAGATTACTAACCTTTTCCTTAAAAATATGTTAGAAAATTGAAAAAAGTTTAGAGGTATATTGAGCCCATCAATCCCTTCTTTATCCCCCTTCCATAAAATTTTTAAAAAACTCTTTAAAATATATCAAAAAATAAAGGAATAAATAGGATAAAAGACTGGATTGAGAAGATGAGAGATAAAGGAAATATAAAAAAGATTTTGGGAGGAGAAGGGATTTCCTGGTTTAATATAATTCAAATAGAAAGGTGGACAAGAGAATGGACAAGGAAGGGAAAGTAGAAAAATGACAAAATTTGAAGATATTATTGGAAAAAGGTTGAAATTAGAGGAAAAGACAGAAAGAAAGGGAACTGTAAATCAAATATATAAATTATTAATTTAGACTAAACAGGATACACAAGGATTAAAAACACAGTGGCAATATGATTTGGATAAAGAAGTAA